TCATTTTAATGCACTATGATGTAAATGGAGGAGAAATTGTTATCCTACAAATTGGTGTGGGGCAAGTGGGAAATATTTAGGGGAAACAGAATTATAACTATTTGTTGCTAGAAGTTGCTTGTTGTATCGACACCCCATTATTTTCCTGTAGAGACCAAAGACACCCCATTAGTTTCCTGTAGAGACCAAAGATTTTACCTATTTATGTATAAAGCTGTACTACTCCCATATATAGATCCATTCATGTATTTGTATTTGTTGTCGTGATTGATGGAGTACGTCCAGTTTTCTCTGAAGTTTTAGTGTAATAGCAGCCTTATTGCTTGAACTGAAAACCCCGATATCCTATTATCATTATATTAAAAGAGACGGTTATCCTCAGAAAATCAATCATTTAAAAGTTCTGAACTACCACTTCTTGTTTCTGTCTTGTTCCCTCGCTCTCTTCTCCTTATTTCTAACATATGGCACTCACGGCTCCCTCGGTCTGAGTTCACACCTGCTCGCACCATTTCTATCCTTTGTCTAATTCTTTTCTCATCTGAATTGCACTGTTGTTGTGTTGTCGTTTCGAATCTCTTTCATCCATCAACATGTCACTTGCATCGGTTTTAGATGTACTGCGAGTCAAAATGGGATTTGGTCAATATCCAATTCCAGTGGTGTGTCCATCTAATGTCCAAATTAAGAACTTGGATATTCAAAATTCAATGGATTATTTAACACAAACTTGAGCTTCTCCTCGGCGCTGCCTCATGAATTCTCCATGGCGCCGGCTCCATCAACCAACCACGGATCTCTTTCTGCTTGTACTGCGATTCAAAATGGGATTTGGTCAATATCCAATTCCAATGGTCACATATCCATCTAATGTCCAAATTAAGAACCTGGATATTCAAAATTCAATGGATTATTTAACACAAACTTGAGCTTCTCCTCGGTGCTGCCTCATGAATTCTCCATGGTGCCGTCTCCATCAACCAACCAGGGATCTCTTTCCGCTTGTGCGCCTACCTGCTTTGCTGTCCTCCGTTGCTTCAACCATGCTTTCAGTGACATCGGGAGACACACTCCGTGGTGTCCTCATCGGGTCAACTCAGATTGCTTTCTTCAGTTACCGTGTGCCATCTATTTCCATCCTGTTTTGTATCCTGCTTGCTGTCAGGCTCATCACCAGCATCTGTGGAATCGTTGGCTTGTGTGAGCTAAAGCTGCTGCCCTACCATGGGCTGCACACAGGGAGGAGCGGCCCATGGATGGGCTGTGCAAGTTCAGAAGCAGATAGGCAAGAATAAACCTACCAACTAATATCAACATCCCTGTACAGTGTACCTTGGGGGTGTCAACTGTCCACAAACTCCAATCCAATTGGATTCCAAACTAGTTTTGCTACAAAGCCCGTTTAGATAGTCTGGATCCAATCCCACCTCTAACCGCGAGTAGTATGCCCCCTTTTCTTTACTAAAATTTTTAGGGTGTTGAGATACTGCAGTACTAAACACGAGGGGGTGAATTTGTCTTATGCCTTCCTTTAGTGGGGTGTCGGGGTTGTTGCACCTGGAAAGTAGTTTTAGTTCCAGTGCTGCATTATACTTTTAGTGTTGTGCTATCTTAATATTCAGTTAGGATCAGTTTTATGTTTCTGTTTCTTGCGCTGTCAATTGTTGCATATGTAATCAGTTACATTTATTCTTTTTAGAACAGGTATATAATCTGTCATTGTCTTGTTTTATCTTATTTAACAGACAGTGAACCCATACAATGAGGACCCGTATGCAAAGGAATTTGGCATAACTTTTGAGAACAAACTCACAATAGTCAAGGGTCGTGTGCTACCTCCTCCTGTGGTAAGTATCGTGGTGAATATCTACTGGTGGCATATGTTTCTCTGTATTTCACAATATTTTTATTGTATTAGCTCAAATTTAATGACCAAGGCAAAGTGAAGGAATTCTTGCCAAAAGTTGGCAAGTGGAATATGCGGCTTAAGGTATGGAAGTCATTCCACCAATCAGAAAAACTATTTTTCTTCTTCATCCCTCCATATATTTTTGTAATTCAATAGCTTCTTTATTTTATGGAATTCTTTTATCTCCAGCATTAATTTTCTGGGTTATTTTTATGTTGTAGCAAATGGTCAAGGGAGGAGAAGTTAACACCTGGGCATGCATTAACTTCGCTTCAGATATCACGCATGCTGCTGCTGTGGCTTTCTGTGATGAGTTGGCTGTGACGTGCCTAATCTCTGGAATGGTAGGTTTCTTTGTGATCCAATCTAAATATTGCTATCAGATTACTCCTTCAAAAGTGCCTTTTTGCTGCAAGGCAATTCATCATTTCTTTTGTGTCAATTTGTAGAACTTTAAGGGTGACCCTGTGCTCCCTCTAGTGAATGCTAAACCTAATCATGTACGACCGTTTCTCAAGAAACATTACCAACGTTTCATGGCAATACTCAGACCACTGCACAAAGAACTTGACCTGCTGATTGTAATACTGCCCGACAAGAATGGCACTCTTTATGGTACTCCTTTTGTTACTTCAAAATACGCTTGAACATTGACTGATTAGAATATTTGTTATATTAATATTTTTTCATTCCTCAGGTGATATCAAAAGAATATGTGAGACAGATCTTGGGCTAGTCTCTCAATGTTGTCTTGCAAAGCATGTTTTAAAGATGAAACCACAATATCTTACAAATATTGCCCTTAAAATCAACATGAAGGTATGTTTTGTTCTAGTAATTTTTGGGCCAGTTGTGCAATATGTTACATTCATTTGATTTTATAGGTGGGGGGAAGAAATACTGTACTTCTTGATGCTGTGGTAGGGAATCTCCCACGTGTTAGTAACACACCAACTATTATATTTGGTGCCGATGTCAGTCATCCTCATCATGGAGAAGGACGTTCTAGTCCTTCTATTGCAGCTGTAAGAGCGCATTGTCATCATTCAAGTTGCCAGACATGGTGTCTTTCTTCACGTACTATCTTCAACAATTTCATGCTTTGTGAAGGTTGTAGCTTCTCAAGACTGGCCGGAGGTTACCAACTATGCTGGATTAGTCCGGCGGCAAGCCCGTCATGAAGAGATTATACAAGGCCTTTTTAACGAAAATGATTGTGGAAGTGGACGTATATCTGGTGGAATGATCAAGTATGATATTGTCGTTCTTAAATATATAAATTTTACATTATTACATGATATGTCTTATGTACATTTAACTATAAACTATGCAGAGAGCACCTCATTTCTTTCATGAGGTCGACTGGACATATACCCCGGAGGATCATATTTTACAGGTGTTAATATCTATTTGGCTATGTTTTCTTTGCTCTTTTGGTTGTGTTTTTTATATTCTTGTATCTTTTAGGGATGTTGTCAGCAAAGGACGGCTCAATATGGTTATTGAGCATGAACTTTCTGCCATTAAAAAGGTGAATCTTATTTCTACATTAGTTTGCGCAATTAAATTTTATCTTGCTTTGCTGTGTTGATATTTTTGTATGATAAACTTAGGCATGTGCGTCGCTGGATCCTATTTATAATCCACAAGTTACCATTATTATGGTTCAGAAACAGCACCACACACGTTTGTTCGCTGGTAACTATGGTGTTGGGAGCACAATTTTTGAAAGTGGAAATGTATTGCCAGGTTCGTTCTTGCATATCATGTTGGCCCTAGTCATAAATACTGAATTTTGAAATCGGTGTTATTTTTTATTATCTCATCTCAGGTACTGTGGTTGATAAAGAAATATGCCATCCCACTGACTTTGATTTTTACTTGTGTAGCCATGCTGGCACTAAGGTTGGTCATTCTCATTATACAAATAGAGTACACAATGATATTTTTTACTTACAATGTTCTGATTGGTATTTTTCGAAATATCCCAGGGAGTCAGCCGGCCTGTTCGTTATCATGTTCTCTGGGACGAGAACAATTTTACGGCCAACGCTTTGCTAATTCTCACTAACCATCTATGCTATACGTAATTATATCCTGTCAAGATCATTTGTGTGCATATCAAAGTTTCAACCGTTGAACTCACTGTCGATCTAATGTTGCAGGGACGCGAGGTGCACCTCTTCTGTTTCAATTGGTTAGTACAAGTAGCAATGTTTGGCTATTTTTAACTTCCCCTCTGAAGTACTGGATCTCTTTGTCAGATCATATTGTTACGATGGGTTTGTTCTCTCTGTAGTGCCTCCTGTTCACTATGCCCATCTTTTGGCATCGCGGGCTCGGCTCTATATTGGGTACAAGGGAAACCTACCTGATATCAAGGACAATGTGAAAAAACGTGGCATGTTCTTCTGCTAAAGCGCAGGGCCTTCAAGTGGTTGTGGTGGAGTTGAAGAAATGAAAAATTATTGCCGAGCTTTGTCTAAACGTACTTGTTTTAATTTGAAAAATTGTATTTACATTTGAAAATTGAAGTTCCATTTCAAATGTATCCATTTCTGTTTTGAATTAGCCACAACAATTATCATGTGCCATTTTTTCAACGTGTTTCTGAAATGTGCTGGATATTAGTTTTTTTTTGTTATGCTTGAATAAATTAATTACATCTTCTTTTGGTTTCAAATTTCTTTTCGTTATTCTTCCATTTTTCCGTGCTTGGCCGTAAGTGGGACAATTTTGTACTTCATAATTGTGCGAAAATTGCTTTTGGAGCTCGGCCTCCATGGAGGCTGGTTTTTGAAAAATTCAAAGTTCAACAAAATTCATATTTTTACATTTCAAACAATTCTAAAAAAATATAGACATACACGATGAAATATGTTGAAATGAGGGTTGTACAAAATAAGCAAATATGTGGCTTTTCAATAAATGATACTATTCATCTCAAAAGCCCAAAGGTATTTTGTTCTAAAATTTTACACATACATATCACATCTTGCGTACCTCAGTACCTGTACAGTTTTTTTTAGATATTTTTTGAAATCAAAAAGTATGATTTTTTTCAAAAAATCCAGCCTCTATGGAGGCCGAGCTCCAAAATGCTGTTCTCATAATTGTGCTACTATGGTACAATAACAACAAAGTCTTTGCTCCCGAACAAGTTGGGATAGACTAGAGGTGAAACCCATAAGGTCTCGCGACAAACTCATGGTTCTGACACATGGATAGCGGACTAACATGCACCCATATCCATGGCTAGTTCTTGGTGATACTCCAATCCTTTAGATCTCTCTTTATTGACTCTTTTCGTGTCAAGTTTGGTCTACACCAACCTCTCTTGACATTATCAATACGCTTTAGCCGTCAGCTATGCACCTGAGCAGAGCTTTTGGAGGCAAAACCATCTCAGACGATGTTGGACAAGCTTCGGTGCTACCCTAACTCCATCTCGTATATCATCATTCCCGACTCGGTCCTTCCTTGTGTGACCACACATCCATCTCAACATGCGCATCTCTGCGGCACCTAACTGTTGAACATGTCGCCTTTTAGTCGGCCAAAGCTCCGCGCCATACAACATTGCGGGTCGAACCGCCGTCCTATAGAATTGCCTTTTAGCTTTTGTAGCACTCTCTTGTCACAGAGAATGCCAGAAGCTTGGCCCACTTCATCCATCCGACTTTAATTCGATGGTTCACATTTTCATCAATACCCTCGCCCTTCTGCAGCATTGACCCCAAATGTCGAAAGGTGTTCTTCTGAGCAACCACCTGCCCATCAAGGATAACCTCCTACTCCTCATGCCTAGTCGTACTGAAACCGCGCCTCATGTATTCGATTTTTGTTCTACTAAAACTAAATCCTTTCGATTCCAAGGTTTGTCTCCATAACTCTAACTTTCTATTGACACCTGTCCGACTATCATCGACTAGCACCAGATCATCCGCAAAGAGCATGCACCATGAGATATCTCCTTGTATATCCCTCGTGACCTCATCCATCACCAACGCAAAAAAGATAAGGGCTCAAAGCTGACCCCTGGTGTGCATTCCTATTTTAATTGGGAAGTCATCGCCATCACTTGTTCGAACACTTGGCACAACATTATTGCACATATCCTTGATGAGGGTAATGTACTTTGCTGGGACTTTGAGTTTTTCCAAGGCCCACCACATGACATTCTGCGCTGTCTTATCATAGGCCTTCTCCAAGTCAATGAACACGATATGCAGGTCCTTCTTTTGCTCCATGTATCTCTCCATAAGTTGTCGTACGAAGAAAGTGGCTCCATGATCGACCTCCTAGGCATGAACCAAACCAATTTTTGGTCACGCTTGTCATTCTTCTTAAGTGGTGCTCAATGACTCTCTCCCCATAGCTTCATTGTATGGCTTATCCTATATCCCTAAGAAGTTCATCCCCACTATCATATTTATCTAAACATGCAAGCTGTCCACATCAGCATCTAGCCAAGTCAGCAATTCTAAACATCCGTACGTTCCACATCAGGCCTTCAGTTTCCACTTGCATGCAAATAGACCAAAGCCCAGCCCCCTCCACTTTATGCATGATCCCGTGTCATTAATTATGTTTAGCCAGCCCACAGATTGCGTTGCAAGGTGTATACTTACATGATGGACGTCCCCATCTCCAATCCCATATCTTCTTCTCTACTTTATAATTATAAAGTTCCACCACACCATCTGCTTCATCTCCCTTAATCAGCGGCGTCATTACGAGGCTGCTTGGTTTAGAGCCGTGAGTTGCCCGACCAAAAAATTGGTCATTGACTAGCCTTGAGGTGGCGTTTGGATCAGATCCAAATAATTGGCACGCCAGCCCCGCCTCAGCTTCCACTCCTTCTACGCCAATCAATTGGTAGAAGAGAAAAAATTCACTGTAGGTCACCAAACTTGAGCCAGGTGACAGATTGGTATCACTACTTCAAAATACCCTAACTACTGTTCACATACTTATGCGAGGGGTTCACTTTGGTCCATGTATACGATTTTGTGTACGTATTTGCTGACTTGGCCGAGTCAGCGGCCGCCAGCTCGCTTTGACCGCC